GAATGACTTTTTAAAACTCTTTTAAAGCTGAAAATGTTCCTTTCAATGAAAAGGAATGACTTTTTGGAACTCTTTTAAAGCCAAAAAGATTTTTTTCAATAAAAATTAATAACTTTTTCAAAATTCTTTTAGAGCTAAAAAAGTTCCTTTCAATGAAAAGAAACAATATTTAGAACTCTTTAAAGCTGAAAAAGTTCCTTTCAATGAAAAGGAATGACTTTTTAAAACTTTTTTAGATTCCTTTTAATGAAAAGAAATGACTTTTCAGAACTTTTTTAGATCTATAAAGGTTTCTTTTAATGAAAAGAAATGACTTTTCAGAACTCTTTTAGAGCTGAAAAGGTTCCTTTCAATGAAATGGAATGATTTTTCAGAACTTTTTTAAAGCTAAAAAGGTTCTTTTCAATGAAAAGAAACAACTTTTCAGAACTCTTTTAGAGTCAAAAAGGTTCCTTTCATTAAAAAGAAATATTTTCAGATCTCTTTTAGAATTAAAAATTCATTTTTTCAATAATACTTTCAGATTCAAATTAGATTAGATTTAGATTTAAACTAATCTGTCAGATCCAAATTTGAGATTCAATCTATCAGATTTAGATCAGATCTAAATTTTAATAGATCTATCAGATTCAGATTAGATTTAGATCCTGAAAAATGAAAATTAGATTAGATCAGATTTGGATAAAATCTAATCTGATCTAATTTTGCAAAACACTACCTGTATGAGATTGTATTCTGTTTTGATTAGATAATTAAAATATTTTCATCACATGAAAATGAAAAATTTGATAATTATATAGTGGTAAAATTAGAATCACAGTGGACAAAATAGGAATAACTATTACTACTACTTTTGATTATTCTTCACCTAAAATATCATATCTCAAAATTTAAATCTTTGCTCAAAGTGTTTCTTACACATATTTTAGACAATAGCTTATATACTATTATTAAGCATAGTTCAATAAAATATTAAAAAATATTCTTTAGAAGTATTTATCATATCAATGAGAAAATTTTTCATTTAATTTTGAAACTTATAATCAATTTAATGAAAATATTGATTTCTGAGAATTGGCAAAGGGATTAGTATCTAAACTTTTTTGACTGGCATTGCAGCTTTTGGAATATACACAAATACAACTTTAGTTGAATGTCTTTAGTCAAATATACGATTTTTACATTCAAAATGTAAAAATAGATTATATGTGAGTATATGATTAAATTATTTTATTTCATAAATTATATTATAAAAGCTCATTTATTTTTGTTTTTAAAGTATAAAAAGGTTTTAGCTATAGTTCAATTGCAAAGAGATATATTACATAAAAGAAAATGGGAAGATACAGAAAAATATAAAAGACAATATAAATGAATATATATAGTTAAATTAATACAAGAATATGAAGATGAAGAAAATAAAGAATTTACATTCAATGCTTTTGATGCTAGTAATACTGAAGAATCAGAAGAATTAGAAAATACTTTTATTATCATTGATAAAAGTAGCAATGATATTTTTAAAAATACTAATAAGAGTACTAATATTCTTAATTTTGAACAATAAAATAAAATGATTGAGCATTGGATTGAATTTGTTGATACAGAAAATTATTTAGATAGCGAAGATGTGATAAATGAGAAAACTTATAATTTTGAAGTAGGTAGATAGGATACTCATTTAGCAGATAATCCATTAGCTAAATGGAAGCTACTTGATTTGTTTAATGAAACTTTAGAAATACCAGTTTATGTTAGTTGAATGATAAACTTGAATTGTATATCTAATATAATAAAAGTTTACAGATAATAAATATAATATAGTAGCAAAATATATAATAAATCACATGATATATTTTAAATAATAATCATTTATCATTTACTTCTCAAAATAACATAATGATATATGACATATCATTAATATTATTTGTATCATTTTATGTTACTTACTAACATTAGTCAAAGGTTTTTTAATATTCTCAAACTTTTATACTAAGATGTTTGTTAATTCAGATTATAGCTACTGGTAGGTATTGCATAAAGCTCAAATTATACAGTAATGAGAAATCAGAAAATCTCACTAAAATCAGCAGGCTTTATGACATCAGAGATCTAAAAAGTATATGCTTATTTAGAAAGATAATGGAAAAATTATTACATAAAATTGGTTGATCTAAAGTTATTATCGATTCTAATCATCATTTGAGATACCCCCTGATGCTCACTTTTATGAGCAAAAAGAAAAAGAAAAAAAACAGAAAAAATAACTATAAGAAGTGGTAAAAAAAATATTTTAACAAAAAAAACACTACTATTTAGACTAATAAAAACTGTTTTTTAGAATAAGAGAGTTTGAAGAGAATAAAGAGAGAAAGAAGTTTGAAAAAAAAATTTTATTTTTTATTTGCAAGTTAAGCTATGGTCATCATTGAATATACACTTTTTTATATAAAAATTCTTAGTTAAGTGATCACTGGAAAGAGTTATATTTTTAAATTATTTTTGCAATTATTAAATAATAAATTATTTTTAAAAATTAAAAAATTAAAAAATAATATATATTAATAATTATTAATTTTAAAAGTTTAAAATAATATTATTAAATCTATCATAATAAAATAAATATAAAAATTTTATTTCATATTTTTAATATCAAAATATTTTAAACTTCTTAAAATATTTTAGAAATAAATTTATATTTATAGTTTAAGAAATAAGTCTAAAAAAATAAGTTTAATAATTCTTATTCTTTTATTAATAAGTTTGGCAGTTTTTTTAAATTTAACAAAAATAAGTTTAACTATTCTTATTTTTTTATTAATAAATCTAATATATTTTATATCTCTAAAAACTGTTTCTGCATAAGATATATTAGTAATTAGCATATTTGTAATAAAATTTAATGAAAATTTATAAAATAAGTCTAAATATCCTATTTTCTTCATTATAAATTTAATAAAAATATTTATTTAAAACTATTTTTATGCTAATTAACTCATTTAAAAGTATAATTTTTCTATAAATTTAATAAATTTTAAGTCAATTCTTTATATGTATCAGAAAATAGTTCTACAGTGTATAATGAAAAAAATGGCAGTGACAAAAAGCAATATATCTCAAAAACTACCTATTCGATTTGAATGAATTTAAATTTATTTAAAAGCTGATCAATTTTTTTATTAGATAAAAAAATTTCAATATAATATTCTATCACCATTTTTTTCTAAAACTATTTCACATCTGGTTTTCATGGACATAACCAAATTATTTACTATTGATTGAGGAACTGCATCCCATTCTTTAACCAAAAATTTGGTTAACTCATTAATATTTTGAAGCATCTGCTTTTCAACATTATTTTTGACGATCGTTCACATATTTTTAATAGGATTAAGATCCAGACTATTGGATGGCCAATCAATAGTATGAATCGAATTTTCAGCAATAAACTCCTTTGTAACACATGAAGTGTGCTTCAGATCATTATCTTATTATGGACACCAGTTTCTTCTATACATATTTCTTGCAGTAGGTAGAAACTGATTCTGTAATATACTTACATAAAATGGTCCATCCATAATATTAGTGAAATAAAAGAATAGTGTTTTTCCTTTTTTTAAAATCCCTTTCCATACCATCACTTTTTGACAACTTCCAGATGAATCTTTTACCATTTTTATGCCATCAACTGACCTTATTTTAAAAAAGGTCAAATACTGTCTAATCAGTGAATATTGTCTGACCCTAATTATTATTTAAATATGCTTGTGTCCATGCTTTTTATATTTCAATATGCCGATTTGTGAGCATCGGAGTTGCTAATGGGACAGAACTTTCATATTCTTTTTTTTTTCATATGTCTTTAGATAAATTCATGTGAAATGGAAATATTATAGGTATTTTGTATTTTTGCAGTAAGTTGGCAGATCAAAATTACAGTATTTTTGTGTACATGTTATCCAATAGCCTAGAATATAGTTTGTATAACCTTTGATTTCTGACCATTATTACACTGATGATTGATATTACCTGTTTCTCTAAGCTTTTTTAAGATTACGCTCAATAGTACAAAGGAGAATACCAGTTTTTTTTGTATCTCCTTTGCTAAATTAATACTATTAAGCCAGTAATATTGAATTATTTGTCTTTGAGTTTCTAATCTTGTATTAACCATTGTTGCAAAGAAAATAATATAAAAATAAACAAAAATAAACAAAAATTTACTTTTAAAAACGCGTTTTTTTAAATTTGAAATATTAAATTAATGATTTATTTATGATCAATATTATAAATTTCTATGTTTTATTTGTAAAAAAAATATTATTTTATCAACCGTTATTATTTTTGTTACACACTGTATATAAGTTAATTTATAAAATAATATATTATTTATTTATTATTTATTAAGATTAACAAAAAAATAAGTCTAATTATTTTAATTTTCTTTTACTTAAATTAAAATTCAGCAGTTTTTTGAAGTAAAAAATTTATACTAATTTTTTCATATTCAACTTAAATTTAATGAATTCTTAAATCTCAAAAAAATATAACAAAAATAAGTATTTTATTTTTTTGAAAGTTTATAATTGAAAAAGAAGAAAATCTTGATTTAAAAGTCTATTATAATATTAAATAATGTAATAACCTTTAATATATAGTAAATATTAACTGAAGATACAAATTTATGTTTAGTTCAAGATTATAACTAATTATAACATATAACTTAATTAGTTATATTATAGTTACATTAATTAAGTTTGCATCTCTAATATTAACTATAAATAAAAAAATATTAATATTTTTTTAGTTTTTTAATATAAATAATATTCTTTAGATCTAATATAAGTTTTTTACAAACTTTTCTATAATTACTAAGATATAAATACAAATATTTATTAATTATTCTAATTTTTATTATTAGATTTAATAAAATTAATATAATTAATATTTAAATTTGTATAACTAAAACTACTTCACTAAACTTATAAATATTTATTTTGTTAGCAATCATATGATTAAAAATAATATATAAGAATTTATTAATTAAAGAAAAAATTTTATAAGAAATATATATCATGATGATTAAAATTAATATCATAAATAGAAAAATAAAAAATAATAAATTAGATACAATTTATAAATTTTATAGTTATGAATGCTCAAATCTTAAAAACTTTGTAAATATTTAAATAAAAAAATCTATATAAATTATTATAAAATTAAAAGGTATAGCTTTTTTTATTTAAGTGATAATTTAAATATCTATTTAAAAAGCTAACTAATAACTAATTCAAAAGGCTATTTAAGAACTTATTTAAATATCTATTCAATTATTTAATAAATTATCTAATAAAGATATTCTATTTAAAAATTAAAAATTAAATAAAACTATTAAAAAATGATATTTTTAAAAACTTATAATAAAAATTATGTTATAATTCTGCAGAATTTGATAAAAATCATTTCTATTTAGAAATAAAAAAAAATAGTGATAAATCATATATAGATATATATTTGTAAAAATAGAATATATTTTTTAATAAAGAAATCAACTATTTGTAATAAAAATTTAATAAAAAACAAAAGGTTATATAAATAAGAAAGGGATTATAATAGAATCATAAAAAAAATATTTCTAAAAAATAATATTTATATTCTATCAAAACTTCTAATATTTTATTATTTAACTTTTAAAATTTATTTCAGATTCTAAACCAATCTTATCTTTTAAAATTTCTAATTAAAAAAATATATTATTGAAGAAAATTAAAAAATAAGTTAATCAAATACTTAAAAATCTAATAAATACTTTAAAATATGAAGAGCAAGATTACTAAAAGATAAAAGAATCTTAATCTAAATAATAAAAAATAAATTAAAAAACTTGTATGAATATAAATTTCTTTATTATAATCTTGAATAATTAGATCTGAAAATAGTTAAATTATTTATATAAAAGTAGTATAAAAATTTGATTAATGAAAATTTAGATGTTTAGAAGAAATTAATGAGAAGCAAAAAAATTTAAATAAAGATTTAGAATTTAAAGAAAAATAATTGATATAGTAGTTAAAAGAAGAATTTTAGTAATACATAATTTATAAATTTCTAAATCTTATTTAAATAATAGAAGTAATATACAAAAATTAAAAAAAAAGATTAAAAATTACTTGAAAAGAAATTTAATAAATATGAGTAATTCAAATTTGCTTTATATTCATTTACCAAAATCTTATAGTTGATAATTCAAAAAGTAAAAAACTTAAAAAAGAAAAAAAATAACTACTTAAATAATATCTTTAATAAATTTTATACTAAATAAAGGAGAAAAAAGATAAGTCTAATACTTAAGAATATATTAAGATAATAATATTAAATCTGGTAGAACAATTTAAAATTTTTCTTTTATAAATAAGTGTTGTAAAGTTAAAAAATCTCAAAATGATATATTATGACTCTTTTTAATAAAATAAATAATATTTAAAAAATTATAATATTAGAAGATTAAAAAATAACTTATTGAATAAAAGGTTATAATAAAAAAAAACAATTAGCCAGAAGTTATATAACAAATCTTATTACATTGAAGTTGAATTTATATGATAAATGAAAAAATAATTAACCAAAATTATGATATAAAATATAAAATATATGATAGAGATATAAATTATATGATAAATAATACAAACATAAGATATACAAATCATATAATAAATAATAACTAAAATTTATTATAAATCTTATGATATAATTGATTGTAATATAAATCTTATAATATAATTGAATTGCAATACAAATTTTATAATATAACTAAATTGTAATAGAATAAGATAGATTATATGGATTGATTATTAGAAAAATCAGATTCTGAGAATTTTTTAGTAAAATTAAGATTTTTATTACATTTTAGTTTTTGATGTTATTAGATTAAAAAAGATCTAAAAATAAAGATGATATAATAATGACTTTATAGGACATATAATAATAATATATAATATGAATACATAATGATCTTTTAAAATAATAATAAAAAAGAAAATAAGAAATAAGAAAAAAAGAATTAGAAAAGAATTAGAAATGAAAATTGAAATAAGAAGATAAAAATAATGTTAATTTAAAAATTAAAATTTATAATTAAAAGAAATATTAATAAAACTTAAAATTAGATATAATGTAATATTAGAATATTAGTAAAAGAACAACATAATAATAATAAAATTATAATATAATAATAGAAATTAGTAATAAAAAAATTAGAAATTAAAGATCATTAAAAGAAGAAATAGGAATTAAAACTATTAGAAAATTAAAATAAGGAAAAAATAGAAATTAAAAGAAAGATCTACAAATTAATTAATAATAAAATTTATATAATAAAGGTAATAATTTATTATATAAATCAATTAAGAATTAGTATTTCTAGTTCAGTTGATAATAACTGAGCTTTTATTATAAATTACACTATAATACTACAAATTCAAGTCTCAGTCAAAGTATAATTTTTATAATATTTTCAAAATATGATAATAATGCTAATTAATAGGAAGAAAAAAGTCTATCTAACAAAATAAATTATAACGTTAATGAATTTTTAATAAAAAAAAGTATTGTATAAATGAACAATAATAATTTACTAAAAATTTTTAAATTAATTATCATTGATTAGAAAATTAATAATAAATCCATAAAATTTTAAAAATCTATCTGTTATAAATCTTTGAAGTATTATATATTATAACTTAAAAATATTATGTGTCGTAAACTTTTAAATTATTATATATTGTAAAAATATCAAATTATTATATATTATAAATATGTAAATTACTAAAATATCATTATATTACGTATTATAAATCTTCAAATATTATATATTGTAAACTTTTAAATTTATATATCATAAAAATATCAAAGTATTACATGTCATAAATATGTAAATTACTACGATTCATTATATTATGCATTATAAACCTTTGAAAGTTTACATATTGTAAATTTTTCAAAATATTACATATTGTAAAATATTAAAATACTATAATATATAAGTTTTTAATAAGTTTGTAATCTTATGTAAGATTACAAAATATAAGATTTACTTAATACTTTGTATTATTAAATTTACTAATATAATTATTATATTATGATCTGGTTATTGTATAATTATATTATGAGATTTTGTATTATTTCTAAATTATATAATATTCTATATGACTGTATTTACTATTAGTTATATCAGATGATTTGTATTTTATTATACTATTCTAGTTAATTATTTATCTATTATTATATGATTTATAGCTAACTGTTTTTCTTTATAAGCTTCTATTTAATCGATTATTTTTAATCTTTTAACATTATAATTTCTCTAATTTTTATTTATTTTATTATAAAGATCATATAATATATAATTTTAAGATTTCTTAACTTTACAATATATATCATTATATGTTCTTATCATATTATTGTTTTCTATTTTTAGATATTTCTTTATTTTTACTAATTATTATTTCTCTTTCTTTATATTTAAGAGTCTTTTAGTTATTTTCTTCTTTTATGTCTTTAGTTATTTGTAGTTCTAAATCTTATGATTTAATTTGTATTACATTTTAATTATGGTACTTCTTTTTAATTAATTATAATATTTTAACTTTTATATTACCTTTTGATTATTATATAACATTTAAGTTATCATATTATATTTTAGCTATTATATTACATTTTGATTATTATATTTCTTTTAGTTATATTATGAAATTTTGTATTACTTTTTAGTTATATTATATTCTATATGACTATTTTTTCTAATAATTATATTAGATGATTTGTATTTCGTTATATTATTCTAGTTAATTATTCATCTTAATATTATATGATTTTTAGTTAATTATTTTTTCTTCATAATCTTTTGTTCAATTGATTATTTTTAATCTCTTAATATTATAACTTCTCTAATTTTATTTATTTTATTATAAAATATCACATGATATGTACTGAAAGATAATGGTAAAAGTTTTTTTCAATCAACTAAGGCATTATACATTATTCAATTTAATGAATAGGATTTTTAATTAGTTTTAAAAGATGAAAATATTAACCTAAAAAGAAAACGTACTGATTTAAATAATCAAGAGAATGCTAAAAGTCAGCTTCAATTAAACTAATGAAAGTACATGAACTTTTATAGAAGAATAAGAAATAATTCTACTATTATAACTTAGACAAAACTCAGACTTTAACCTGATAGAATACCTCTAGAATGAATTTAAACATCATATTTTTTTGAGATTTCTTAACTTTATAATATTTAATTTGAAATCATTGTAATTAATTCTATTTGTTGCTTAGAAATTTTTAAGTTTTACAGATATTTATTATACTTGAATCAATTTAACAATTTATTATATTTTAGAATTTAATATTATTTAGTTAAACTCATAATAACAAACTCAAAAGCAATTTAATGTAAAATATTATAATAAATCTTAAATGAAAAATAATATTGAAAGGAAAAGTAATTTTATATAAATTTTAATTAATTCTTTTATTATTAATTTGTAACTCATAAAAGACTTACAAAGAATTTACAATCTTACAAAAAGTAAATTTACAATTTAAGTAAAAAGTTATTTTATGTATACAAAATTAATTTGTTATGACTTATACTATAAATTAACTAACATATCTAATATATATATATTATAATAAAAATATACTTAAATGTAATAAAATAATAAATGTAATATAAACTATAAAAAAATAAAAAATAATAAAATAAATTATAGACATTAAAAGAATTATAGATGAAATAAAATAAACAGAATAAATAGGCTATACAAAAAATACAGAAGAAATAGAAAAAATAGGAAAAACAGAAAATAATGCTGATTATTACTTAGCACAGTTAAAAGATTATTTAATATATTATCATTGATTGACAGATTTCATGTGATATTTAGAATTGCAATTTTTTTTATTAATAATATGAAATAATAAAGAAATATTTATAATTATAAAACTCTGAATTAGATCAGGTCAACCTGTTTATCTGACCTGATCTGATCTAATCTGATAAAATTTAAATTAACTATTCATTCTTGAATAATAGTTTTATTATTTTTAATGATATTTTTATCATCCTTAAATAATGGTATATTTAAATACACACCTGTCAGGATCTTTGAAAAGTAATTTAACGTCTTCGGGTATAGGTGCTGTGAACGGATGATGCGTTGAAGACAACCGTCCAGTTTCATTATCTGTTATCACGAGTAAATAAAGGAAATGATTCGACCCAAAGTAAGTTATAATCAAATGGGTGATATCTTCAATTTATCTAAAATGAATGAATAAAAAGCAAATCATTATTTCGAGATATTACATTGGATTATATATAAATGTTTGATCTAATAGGATATAATATATTTGATGCAACAAATACTTTTCGATTGTAACAAAATTTGCAATTTGGGATCGAATTCGTCCCAATAGCGTCCAACTCTCCTAATAATAATAATAATAATTATAATTATAATAAAAATACCATTTAAAATAATGAAAAATGATAAAGAAAAGGCGTTCTTTCACACTTGAGTAAATTCCGGTTGTCTATTAGTTCTAAGATCTTCGTCACGTAAACATTTCGCCATTTGAAAATATTTGTCAATTCCTCCTGTCATGAGTAATTGTTTATACTTTCAAGGATGAAAATCTTTTTCAATAATTATAAAAAGATAACCTGAAAATCAAAAATACAGTATAAAAATGAAAAAGGTATTAACCTGTTGCGTGACTTTGTGTTAATGCATAAAATGATCCTTTTGTTCTTGTTGGTACTATAAATTCTCTTGCTCCTACTCCTTCAGATGTTGATTTAAATAATATAGGTGTTTCAACTTCAACAAATCCTATATTTATAAATACATTGATATAAGGATGAAATATTATAAAATCTAATTAAATGAGTCTAAAGAATATTACCTTCATTCACAAGAAAATTTCTTATGGTCCATGATGCA